ATCAAATACGTGTAGGAGCCGTAGGGGCAATGGCTTATGCTCTGTGCCATCACAATCCCCAAATGAAGATAACAGTTTGTGAACAGCCAATTGTCGTGAAATATGCCCCACACTTTAAGCCGTCATCGGAAGATTGTCCGAATCAAGGGAATGTTTCTTTCTTAACCGGCGATTTCATCGAGGATGATTTACCAAAGGCTGATCTGTATGTAATAAGCCGTACGCTTCACAACTGGTCCGATGAAAAAGTCGACTTGATCCTATCAAAGGTCTTCGATTCTTTACCCTCAGGTTAGTACACAAACAAGGAACACATTCACGATAAACTATTCTCTATGCCAAATGATCGACGGTTAATTTCAGGGTAGGCAGGGAAAACTGATTTGATTTAGTTAGTCTAAGTTGGTCCTGCGTAGACTCCACTGAACTATCGAGTGGTACCCTTCAGGCACTGAAAAAACGCCCGTGCGGGTAGGCCGAAAACTTCCTCAGAAATACTAATTTTTAAAAATGCGTGAATTTTCTTTGTAGGTGGTGGTCTTCTTGTTTGTGAACAGATTTTACAGGACGACAAAAGTGGTCCGGAGAATGCGTTACTCCAGTCACTGAACATGTTACTGTTATGCGAAGGAAGGGAAAGATCATTTACGGAATACCAGCAGCTTTTGGAAAAACACGGTTTTGTGGATTTTCAGGCGAAACAAGTTAGCTTTTATATGGATGGGATTTTAAGCAGAAAGGCTTAAACACTATGCAAGCATGATATGACATTGAAAACTTTGATCCCTATGAGTGACCAGCATCTAGTTTCTCCTTACAATATCACCCCTGAATCACACATTAAGGTCATGAGAACAAAGAAAATGATCACTAACTAAAGAAGCTCTTGATTGTTAAACAAATTCTCCTTGTCATCACCTTAGGAAATGTATAGAGAACAGTATGGAGAATATGCAGGTTGATGTTAGACTGTAAAAGGCTAGGCTTGGTTTTGAATCTTAAGACAACATTAAAGTGGATTAGCTTTACTCAGTGGTGTTTCTTTACTCTTAAGCTGTAAATAAGTTTTGGAAACTGGATACCTAGGGTTCTAACATACAAAACTTTTGTATTCACTGTAGTGGACTGTGCACGTTGGAAAAGTATATCAAACTTGTATAGATTCACTGGTTATAAATTCCCAGTAAAGTTCTACACCATCAGGAAATCAGTGTACTGTAACTTATTGAATAATTTCTTCAGTGATATGTTAATAACTTCATGATCGAGGTCATTGCAAAGTAAATATTTACAGTCATGATAGTGTCACAAGAAAGATAGTTTGGTCAAATAATTTTTAATTGTTTTGAGTTAACAACACTACAACGTGGTTAAACATTTTATGAAGTAAGCGTATATATTTCTCAGTAAAATCTAAGAGTTTAAGTCTAATTTAAGATTAAATGATAAGTTATTTTTAACTTTTGATTTTATGACTGTGCCTTCTTGGTTTCATTCTCCTCTCTTTTAATCAGGGGCTTGAGAAGTTCAGCTCGTTTATGGATGTCTACTTCTTTGGACTGTTATGGAGAGGGAAAAAAAATGCAATTTTATATTGGTTTTGTTTTTAAGGATTCTTTGCAGGAGGATTCATTTTTTCACTTTGGTTAAGACGTTATTTAAAAAAAATCAGGGGGTGAAGTAATTTTCAGCGAGGCCTTAAACTATTGTAAAAATTAAACACGAATTAAAAACAAGCATTCAATATTCGATTAAGTTCATGTTTTCAATTTGTTGGAAACTATTTTACAATTTTAAGATTCTTCTGAAGGAGGACATGAAACGATTACTAAAAAAAGTGACATTTCCAACTGTTTCCTCTTATTTCTGTTGGTTTACTTGATGCTGTTGAAATATCGTGTTAATCTCATTTGCAAAAATGAAAAGCACAACTTTGCACACGATAATTTCTTTAGAGATTTCTCTCGCCCACAAACTTGACTTTTAATTCGCGATCTACTGATGGGCTGTGTTAGCTTAAAGTTCTTTCCCCTCATAAAAAGCTAAGTTTAATTTCTTACGCCACATAGTTCTCAGTTGTCTTTATTTGAGCATTATATGCGCGTTTTGCATGTGAACGGGCCTTTGGCTGAGATAAGTAAGGGAGCCTTGGGCAACGAAAAATTCATTTTTCTAATACATGCCTTCAAGTTGATTTTTGCTCCTCAGTTTCCGGGGGGGAGGGGGGAAAAGCTTGAATATACTGAACTTAACAGCAGTTTGTTTCGTAATTGAAATTAAGTTCCTCACCTGTTCCTTGCAGATGGTACTTGCAATCTGATTGGCTCTGGCCAGAAGTGATCCAAAGGTTCTCATGTAGTACACGTGCTTGTTCTTGTACGCAATACTCCTCAGCTCGCCTCGGTACGCGCGGCCAATGCCGATCGCGTAAACCTGGACGCCCTTTCGTGTGAACCTCGAGGCCATGCGCTTAACTGCGTATGCGTGACGGCGGCTCGGTGGGCCGCCTGTGATTACGACCAAAACTCGTTGGATATACGTCGGTTCTTTAGCATAGAACGTGTCATAAGCGGCTTGTAAAGCCAGATCTAAACGTTTCCCTCCTCGGTTAATGTGTGGTGCTTGATCAACTGCACGTCGGACGGCTGTTGGAAGGGTAAGAAATTCATTTTAAGTGAACGTTTTAATTCTAATTCTCTCACTTTTTGACATCTCTTTCTGAAGTCAGGGCCTGAATAGGTATTCTCAACAAGAGAGAAGAGCCGTAGACGGGAGGGAAAGACATCTTGATCATGTCTGTTGAGCATTCACTTAAGGTTACCGTGCACCTTCAGGGGTGTCTCGCGTGCAAGCGATGTAGCGCGTCCGGTTTAAACTTAT